CAGAGCTGATGTGCCCTGGCCCCAGCCCTCTGCATCCAGCCGGAGCAGGGGGTGATGTGTGCCTTCCACCGGGATGTGGGATGTCTCCTCCTGGAGATGGGCAGCACCTGGAGCCCCACAAGGTCCATCAGGAGCTGGCAGCCACGGCCACCCCAACCCTGCTGGGGTGGAAGCCCCTGGGCTCAAGGTCTCTTCAGCTTTGCTGTTCCTCCAAAGGGCTGACTGCACCCATGCAGGGCAAAAGCTCATCTCCTTTGGGAGCAGCTCACACTTGGAAGCCTCTGCAAAAGTAATGTTCTCTCTAATTCCTCTCCTTCCCCTACAAACGTCTTCTTCCCCTGACTGGCGTGTGAGTGTGGGGCTTGGTTTCTGGTGGCGTGCGTGCACAGCCCTGCTCATTCCCAGAGACCTCACTTCAAGATGCACATGGACCAGCCGTGACTCTGCCCCCACCTGCCCCCGCTCCCCCCGCCCAGCCCTGAGGATGATGATGGGGCTGGGACGGAGGCAGTGACAGAGCAGGGAGGGGGGGCAGCTGGTGATGGCATGAGGAATGGGGGCTGTGGAGGGGTACAGGGAGCAGAGGCAGGGGACACTGGGGCAGTAGGGCTGCTTGCTCCAGAAGCTCATCCCACAGCTCGACGTGCCACCATAACACGGGCATGCGTAAATACCAGCCTCTCCCACTGTCTTTGCCGTGCCAGTGGGGAGAGTGGCAATCTCCTGCCACGTGGGGAGTGACAGGGTGGGCAGGAGGGAGTGAGACCCTTCATGGGGACATGGGCTGAGTGCTCAGTAGGTGCTCGGTCACTAATTGCACCCGATGGAGCACCTGCCTGTAGCCAGTGCAGACTTTTTGGGCACAGGATGACCATCAGCAGCAGTCCATGACAGGGATTTCTCCTTTCCTACCTGGCAGCAGGCTGCAAAGCACTTTTTGTAGGGGCTGACAGGCTGGGAAGGCTTGCCGGCGTGGCACATGAGGTGTGTGGCAAGGAAACAGCAGGAGCTTTCCACCGTGCCCTCAGATGTCACCCTGTGACCAAGGAGGGGTGGGCAGGACTGGCTTTGCTCTCTTGCTCTGGAGCAGTCTCCTCGCCCGACAGTGGTGGCACCCATGATCTCAGGCAGCGATGGGGACCCTGCTGTGCCAAGTGCTCCCAAAATAGGTGCACCCCACCGAATTACAACCTTCTCTGCTTGGATCTGCGGCTGCTTGTGCCTCGTGTCTTCATCCATAACATGCAAGACGTTGGGTGGGAAGGGAAAGGTGTCTCCCTGTCTTGAGCACATGCTTGCTGAGTGCTGCAGCGGCCACAGAAACCCTTAGACCAAAAGATGCTACAGGTGAAGAGTTGGAGGCTCCTAATGGCTTCGATGGAGAGGAGAAAACCATCCATAAATCACTGCCAGAAGTCCTAGGGAGGGAGGAGGCTGGTGATGGAGTCTGCTGCAGCTAGCTGGCAAGAGCAAGTCTGGGAGAGAACCCCCTGAGTGCTGCAGACCAGGGATGGTGTGTGCAGGCTGAAAAGCCCATTGGTGCTGCAGGTAGGGGCCTCAGCCCCAGGAGCCCTTCTGAAGCGGCCTCTAGGCTTTGCCAAGGCTCCATCTCCTCCCTGGCTGAGGTGCCGGGAGGGAGGCGGGGGGCAAAGAGGGATGGAAACAGGGAGGGTGATGTGGGATGGGGAGGGAGAGGAGAAACGTGCTCCTGGAGGTGCAGGAGGAGAGAGAGGGGCACTGGGGGACATATCGGGGAGACATTTAGTAGGGAGACCCCAGGGCCTGGAGAGGTCCCTTGGTGTCTGGGGGCTTCACGGTGTGGGGGACAGTGATGTGGCTGGTGTGAGAGTGGAGTCACCCCGGTGAGTCCGTTGCAGCACCTGCATGCTCCCTCCATCCTTGGGTACATCCTGGGGTCGCGGGCAGAGATGGGGTTGCCCGAGGACTGTGCCCCACGCAGCCTGGGTGCTCTCCATCCCAAAGGCAAACAGCAGGATCTATCCCCAGTGCCTATTCATGGCTTGGTCAGTCGCTCTGAGACCTGGTGAACTCATAGCATCCTTGCCCTGCTCCCAGCTCCGGGCTGAGGTGCCTGCCCTGCTCAGGGAGGCAAAGGCAGTGCCGGGCTGTTTCGGCGAGCTCAGAGAGAGTGTCAGGGACAGAAGAGAGAGACGGCGGAATGGAGAGAGCAGAAGCTGGGGAAAAAAGGGGTGCCCAATAGGCTGGGGCATGGCAGAAGATAGCTAGGGTCTCTGAGGTGGGGGTTAGCGGTGTACACATCTTCCAGCTTGTACGTGGTGTTGTTGTACGCCTGTGTTGTATGTATCTTCACACCCTTAACCATTCTTGTTCCCCCTCCTACCCTCAAACAGGAGATTGCTTTATTTTTGCCCTTCAGTGAAGGCTCATTTTCAAAATACCCGTTGAAGTCTTTCACCCTGAGGCTGCGTTTGCCTCTGTGTCAGCACACCAGTTTCCAGCATGACCTCTGGGTGGCATCCAAAGACATGCGAGCGAACCAGTCTTCTCCTCCATTTCTTGTGACCTGTACAAACAGTTTTATGGAGCAGGATAAGATAGACTTTTCTTACTTCGGGCAACTGAGAACACAAGCCTCTGTCAAGGCTGATAATGAATTAAATGCACTTAGAAGGGGGCTGCCAGTTCACGAACTGAAGTGAAAAAAACCTGAAACCCTCATTTTAGCAGAGATGAAGGAAAGGTTTCTTTTCAAGATTTTCAAATTCTTCCTGGGAGAGCTGGGGTAGATGTCTGCTTGATTGCTAGCTTGTCTGATCGGTTTGATTAGCTGTTACAAGAATGACAGCTAAATCTCTCCATATCACCAAAGTGAAGACTTTAAAACTCATTTCAATTGTACTGAAGCCAACCCCCAAACTGCCACCATTACATAGTTCTAAGCCATTTTATACTCTTATCACCTCTTCTCGCATCCCTGGCTGGGTGCCCAGGAAGGATGGCAGCAGAAACCGCTTACCCTGTCCCTTGATGCATCCCTTGCACTTGGAACTGGGTGCAAAGCCAGGCAGTGCCACCCGGCTTTCTCACCCCATCAGTATTCAGTATCTACTGAAGGGTGTTGCTTTCTTTTCAAAGCCCTTTGTCTTCATGGGCCGTGGGTAACAGGCTCAGAGGATAATGGTACAGAGGTATTTCTCTGTCCCTCACCCACATGTAAGAAAAGCCCAGTCGCTATCGCAGCTGTAGCCTTGCTAATGCAGAAGCTGCTTTAATGGCTACATTGGTACCCAGGCTTTAGCATCGCAGCAGCCGTGCTTCCATTTTCTCACACCTGCATCTCTTTAAAAAGCAGGTATATTAAAACCTTGGCTGCTGATGACAGAAATCTCCTACCCTCAGCACAAACGAAAGGCAAAGGCATTTCTTTTAAAAGACTTTAAAAATAAGAACTGATCCCAAAGCCTGCCAAATCCCATTTTGGAGAAGCGCACATTAGTGGTGTGTTTGTACGTTTAGCAAAATCAAATTCAGGAGTCCCAGGCGCTTGGAGCCAGCACCATTACCCAAGCCAGCTTGCAGAGACATGCTGTGCCAAGCGCTCCCACTGCGTGTACCGGCGTGGACGCCCGCCCGCTGTGCCAGCTCCCGCTGGGCTACCGGCAGCAGTGCCCATGGTGCTGGGTGGGCTCTCTCAGGACCCCCGCCCCAGGCACCGGGTAGAGCTGCTGGGAAGGCTGCCCTTGCTGGGCTGGTGGGGTCAGGGTGCCCCCAGCACCCAGGGTGATGCTGGTGAAGGTCCAGCAGGTTTCGGAGACCTGGGTGGTGTGGGAGAGGCAGGTCTGATGGGAAGCTCCTCTGTCCAGCCCACTTCCCCCGGCACCTTTGCTTCTCCTTCCCCTTCCAGGAAATTCCCTTTCATCCCAACACATCAGTTTTGGTCCATTGCTTTTTATTAAGGTCCATTCTCCTCTTACCTTGTGGGGAGGGTTAGCCACAGCCATCTCGGTTTGGATGAAGGCAGTCTTTCTGTCCATAATTCTTGCCACCTTTCATAAATAATTCCAGGTAGCAGGCTGAGATGGCTGCCTTCACCCCATACATCTCCACGGCCTGTGTGGCTGCAACTGCAGTGTGATGCGGGACTGGGGGAAGGGGCCAGCATTGCCCGGCATCGCTGGCTGATGGCACTCATGGCCCCTTCCCTCTCCCATGCCTGTTGGGGCTGGGCTGTGAACCAGGCCAAGCCAAATGACCTGGTTTTAGCTTTGTTTGGATTTTCAGCATCTGCCTCCGAGCAGTGTCACCCCTTTGTCAAGACCACCTCTGTGGGAAAGGTTGGTGCCCCCTCAGTGAGACGTTGTGGGACTCGCACGAACTCCTTGGGGCTGAAGCTGTAGTGTAACTTGCTGTTTTCCCTGTCCCAGATTTCATCTTCCAGAAGGAGCTGTTTGCTGCCAGAGACCCAGGTGAGCTGAGCGGACCATGGCACAGGCTTTGCAGGGTAGCTCTGTCTTGGGGAGGTGCTTTGGGGAGGCCAGTGGGACATTTCTGGTTCATACCATAAACCTGCTCTCATCCCTGGGACAGGGCACCGGTGCTGTGCCGTGCTGTCCTTGCAGCCAGAGCTGTGCGTCGCTGCTCGGCTCCGCAGCCCGCTTTCTCCTGCGGCCTCTTAGCCTCTCTGCGTGTCTCCCTGGGGCACACCAGCCAGCACTGTGCTCCTGCTGGGAGGTGGTTCCTGGCCCTGCAGAGAAAAAAACCATCGCACCCTGGCCAAAGGGTCCCTGCAGCCCTGTGTGTCTCCTCCATTGCTAAACAGGGATGCAAAAGTTGCCTTCAAAGAGCTCCCGGCGGAAGGCTGCAATGGCAGAGGGAAACCCAGTAACACTGGGGATTTTTTTGGGGCTCTAGCCAACAGCAGTGCTGGCCTGGGAAACTGAGGAGAGAGCAAATGCTGCCAGCACAGGCTGGCAGGTATGATATTTTCCCTTTCTGTCCCCGCTCCCCTTGTAGACCCCATGCACAACCTCTCTGCTCAGCCCTGGCAGGCGAAGATGGCCAACCTGACCTACGACAACTTCACCCTGGGCAACCGTTCCGAGGTGGCCATCCAGCCTCCCACCAACTACAAGACGGTGGAGATGGTTTTCATCGCCACGGTCACCGGCTCGCTCAGCCTCGTCACTGTGGTGGGGAACATCCTGGTGATGCTGTCCATCAAGGTCAACCGCCAGCTCCAGACTGTCAACAACTACTTCCTCTTCAGCCTGGCCTGTGCGGACCTCATCATCGGGGTCTTCTCCATGAACCTCTACACAGTCTACATCATCAAAGGCTACTGGCCGCTGGGGGCCGTGGTGTGCGACCTGTGGCTGGCCCTGGACTACGTGGTGAGCAATGCCTCTGTCATGAACTTGCTCATCATCAGCTTTGACCGGTACTTCTGTGTCACCAAGCCCCTGACGTACCCAGCCAGGAGGACCACCAAGATGGCAGGGCTAATGATCGCAGCGGCGTGGATATTGTCCTTCATTCTCTGGGCCCCTGCCATCTTGTTCTGGCAGTTCATTGTGGGCAAGAGGACGGTCCCTGAGAGGGAATGCTACATCCAGTTCCTCTCCAACCCAGCGGTGACCTTTGGCACGGCCATCGCTGCTTTCTACCTGCCCGTGGTCATCATGACGGTGCTGTACATCCACATCTCCCTGGCGAGCAGGAGCAGGGTGAGGAGGCACAAGCCTGAAAGCAGGAAAGAGAGGAAAGGCAAGTCCCTCAGCTTCTTCAAGGGCCCCCTGATCAAACAGAACAACAATAATTCCCCCAAGAGGCCTGTGGAGGTGAAGGAGGAGGTGAGGAATGGGAAAGTGGACGACCAGCCCTCAGCACAGACAGAGGCCACTGGCCATCAGGAGGAGAAGGAGACCTCCAACGAGTCCAGCACTGTCAGCATGACCCAGACCACAAAAGACAAGCCCACAGCAGAAATCTTGCCAGCGGGGCAAGGACAGAGCCCATCCCACCCCCGGGTGAACCCATCTTCCAAGTGGTCCAAGATTAAGATTGTCACCAAGCAGACTGGGACCGAATGCGTCACCGCCATCGAGATCGTCCCAGCTAAGGCAGGAGCCTCTGACCACAACTCCCTGGCCAACAGCCGCCCGGCCAACGTCGCTAGGAAGTTTGCCAGCATTGCCAGGAGCCAAGTACGGAAGAAGCGCCAGATGGCAGCCCGGGAGAAGAAAGTCACCCGCACCATATTTGCTATCCTGCTAGCCTTCATACTCACGTGGACTCCATACAATGTGATGGTCCTCATTAACACCTTCTGTGAGACCTGCGTGCCCGAAACAGTGTGGTCCATCGGCTACTGGCTCTGCTACGTCAACAGCACCATCAACCCAGCCTGCTACGCCCTCTGCAATGCGACTTTCAAGAAAACCTTCAAGCACCTTCTTATGTGCCAGTACAGGAACATTGGCACAGCCAGATAAACCGGCACTCAGGGACCACTTCAGCAACGTTACGGAAGCCCTTCCCTTTGCCTCCTTTGCCGGGGTGGGCTTCCTCTGCTCCCCACTCACAACGGTGCAGACTGTGCCGTGATTGCAGATGACGCCCTTCATCCAGTGCTGACGAAGGTCCAAGGCACCTCTGAGCTGCGGCTGCCTCACCCTGGCCCTGGGGACTAACGTGGGGAGCCAGCGGGAAAGCCGGAGGGAAGAGAAGGAGATGCGCTCACGAGGACCCTTCCCCAGCTCCCTGCTCTGAAGAGATATTGGCCAAACGGCATCAGTGTTTGTCCTAAGACTGGATGCCTCTTCTCCCCCCCCCGGCTGACCGTCTCCAGGCCATCAGAGCTTGTCTGCATGCAGACGGCCTAATGCTGGATGCTTTCAATAGGTTTTAAACTGTTTATTACCCAAGAAATGAAAAGAAAGCAGGGCCAAACATTTGTCAGCCATCTTGAACCAGGCTGGCTCGGGCATGCTCATGGGGAGTCCTGCTGGGACAGCCAGACCCCCTCCCAAGGCAGTCAAGATTACACCCTAGCAGATTGGGCAAGCTCCTTCCTTTCCCTTGAGAGATGCCATGGTACATCCTCACCCAGGGACCCGGGAGGTGTGGAATTTTTCCCTGGACTTCAGCTCCGCTCTCCCCTTCATGCCCTTTCTGCCCTTGGCCAGCAATTGGCTGGACAGACAGACAAACCAAGCATCTCACTCCTGGGTGAGGAGTGTGAAACCCAGTCACGTCCTACAGTGACGGAAACTAAAACTGCAAAGAAAAGCAGTGGTGCGGTAGAGGACTTCTCTCCACGACCCTGGGGAAACGTGGGCCCTGAGAAGTCAGCAGCAGCGACAGTGAAAATAACTGTCCTTGGGAGGGACGGGGAGAGTTGGGGGGTCTTGGAGGGGGTTGGGAAGAGGGTCTACAATGTGGCCGAGGTGTCCTGTATCTCATCTCGGCCATGAGCAGGTCCCTGCTCTCCCCATGGCGGGTGTGGGAGGCCTGATGCACGGCTCTGGGGAGGCAAGAGAGGACAGCAGTGGCCCCCAGCCCTGCTCCTGCCCTGGGTGCAGGGGGGGAACACCCCAGGGAGGCTGAAGGAGCCGGCTGCTGAGCTTTGTAAATGGATGTAAACCTGTTGTTGGTGTCGTGGCGGAGCCCTCAGCATGCAGGCTTCAGCCAGCGTCTCCAGCCCCCTCCCAGCCCACCTATGTGTGCAGCCCGGACCACCCCAGGGCTGCTCCTCAGCTTCGCCCAAAGCTGGGTCTCTGCAAGCCTTGGTGGACATGGCTGGGTGAAGGTGAGGGATGGGACAGGGCGACGATGGCACTGGCAAACTCCATATCCATTCCCACGGCGGGGTGATGCTGTGCAACCTGGAGAAAGTCTGCCCCGGCCCAGATGGGGATCCCCCCGCCACTGCCTTTAGGATAATCCACATACCGGTGCCCAAAATGCCTGGCGGGCCTTTTAAACTGTTACAACCACAGCCCAACCCACCCCCAGACAAATAAAGACCTCGCACCAGAAACCAACAGCCATGGCGTAAGGAATGAATGAGTCGTCACCTGGTCGCTCCTGCCCAGCTTCCCAGTGTCACCCACTGGTGACATTCCCTGCAGCGTGTGGGCAGCAGCCCCATCCCTGCCACCACGTGCGTGTGGCACCCAGGTCCTCACCGCCAGCCGCGGGGTGACTTCACTGCTGGTCCCGGTGGGGTCAGCAAAGCTGGGGTTTCTAGCACAGCAGCACCTCATGGGGATGACAGGTGGGTTCCAGTATTTTTTTTTTTAAAGATTTTTATTGGAAAAGAAAACAAACCCCATTTTCCAAAAGAAGTGAGAGCTCCGACCCAGCACTGGTGTTGGCATGTTGAAGGCAGAGGGGCTGCAGCCCCGGCATGGACACACATGGTTAGAAGTGATGGAGGAGAGGGGACGTGGTGGTTCCTGGGGGCGGTGGTTTTGTTTTCCCCGGCTGCTGCAGCAAAGTCATGCCCTGGCCGAAGGGATGCTGGAAGAAGCCTCCCGAGCTGAGAGCAGTCCTCATGTGAGTAAGGGGCATGAGTGATGGGGTTACTCCGGCATTCAACACCCAGCCCTTCCCTCCGGCACTGGTACCTGGCAGAGGAGCTAGGAGGCTCCCGGGCTTGTCAAAGGATGCTCTAAAGGCAACTCATTTGCGCCAGAGGATGGAAAAATGTGTGTTCCCATCCCAGCTCTCCAGGCGCATCCCAGTGAACCCCGACACCAGCCCAGAGGAGGTGAGCGGGATGCACTGGCAGTGGCGGCGGGGCAGCGGGGGGGCTGGGGTGGGCAGCCCCTCCTGCGGGGTGGGTTTGCTCTCTACAACACTAGCGATTAAAACAAGGCATCTCAGTGAAAGAGGAGGTCATGGAAAAGAAGAAGGAAAGGAGGAGGAAGACTGGAGCGTGGGCCGGCTGCAGGTGGGCGTCCAGCCCCGTAGGCACCGTGTTGAGGGGCCGATGAGGATGCTGGCTTCCCGCTCTAGTCCTTCCCCTTGCCCTTCTTTGCTGCACCCGAGAAACACAGGAGACAAGAGTTAGTGCATCCGCTGGCAGCTCACCGATCCCCTAGGTGCTGCCGTGGCAGAAACGTAGCCAGCGCGGCCGGCTCGGCACAGCGCAGGGGCCACATCCCTGCAGGCAGCCTCCCCCCACCATGAAAAGCCACATTTTGCACCACCCCACTGAGGAGAGCGGGAAATCCCTGTCCCACCGAAGCTGGCAGTGACTTGTGGGGGAACCAGGATTTTTCCTAGCAGCACCTCCATCCCACCCAGCCAGCAGCCAGACTTTGGGGCTGTCGCATGTGCTGATACAGAGGGAAGAGCATCTTCCGTGATCCCCCACACCACCAACAAAGCCCAACCCCAAGGGACCAAGCTACCCTTGGAAAGTGTCTGCCTGGGGTCCCAGCAGGACCCTTCTGAGGACAGGAGTGGTGGGGACTGACCTTTGGACTTCGACTTGATCTTGGAAGAGCACGGCTTGGTCACATAGACGATCTCCTCACACTGGGCATTGTACAGGGCTTTCTTCAGGATGCCAGAGCGGGTTTTCACGCCCGTCTGAGCACTACACCCCCCCCAGCTCTCAAATTTGTACTTGCAGTCGGCTGGAAGAGAGGGGAGACGCATCAGCGCTGGCCAGGACCCAGCGTGGGCACCAGCCCCAGCCACCCAGCCCAGGGTGGACCCCAGATCCCCCACCACCTTGCGCCCACCTCCAAACTTCTTCTTCCAGTTGCAGGGGATCTTGCACTTGAGCTTCTTACTCTCATCTTTGCAAGTTCCCTCACGGTAGCCCAGGCCGCAGTCCTTGCTGTTGGGGACGCAGGGTCCCCAGCGCCAGTCCTCGCACTCGGAGCCGTCCTTCTTCGCCTTCTCTGCGAGGGAAGGGGGAGCGGGTGCTCGCTGCAGGGACATGGGAGCACGCCCCGGAGCTGCCCCCTGCCCCACCGGCCCCCCCCCGGCCCCCAGCCGCCCCTCACCTTTCTTGTTCTTGCCAGCCTCGGCAGTGGCGGCCAGCAGGATCAGCACCAGGAGGAGGAGGAGGCCCCGGACCTGCATCCTGCCTGGGGAGGAGGGAGAGGTTGAGGTGGGTTGAGGGGTCGGGGCACAATGCGGCAGCAAGGAGGGGGCATGGGGGGGGCACACCTGGGAGTGAGACGGCGGCTGCCTCCTTTGCACACATGCACCTGTGGGCGCGCGTGTACACCCCCATGCCCTGCTCGTTGCCACCCGTTAGACCGTGTGTATTAATTACAATAGGAAGGTTAATTGTGCAGCTGCCTCCGGCCAGGGAGCTGTTGGGCTGGAGCTTGTTCCCATCCCTTCAGCGCCCCCCATCACCCTGTGTCTGGCCAAAATGCTCTCACGGGGACCCCCGCACCCCACACAGCAGCTGGGCAAGGCCCTTTGGTTGGGTGCACCCAGCACCAGGCTGCCCCAGGGTCCGTGCTGCTCCTGCTCCCGGAATGCAAAGCAGCCCCTGCCTGCATGCTGGCAGCAGCGGTCCTGCTCCACAGTGCCGGTCCTCAGCCCCTACCCCCCTGTATTTCTCTGTGGCTCCTTTATCCAGCACCCAGCAGGCTGCCACCCCACGCCAAAGAGCCCTGGGGCTGGGGGAGCGCAGCTGCCATGGTACCTTTCTCTAGCTCCGGAGGAATCCCGGGGAGGGGGGAAGAAAAAAGCCCAGCAAAAACAAACCCACTGCCATGAGGGGTCTGAGAGCTAAACCAGCAGACTAAACACCTAAAAAAAAAAAATCCCCACAGCGTGGGAGCTCGTTGGAGAGATGGAGCGGGAGAGCTGCGCCCACTGCTGGCACCGCGGCAGCTGGCACAGCACCTGTGCATGCAGAGGGTGTGTGTGCATGCATCTGCATGTGTGTGCACGCACCTGGGAGCAGGTCGGGGACAAGTGTGCATGCACACAAGGGTGCAGCTCCTGGGGCCCTGACGCTCCCCCCTCCACGGTGGCCTTGGGCCAGGTGACAGTTCCCCCCCGGCTGCCACCACGAGCGCCCGTGGGACACTGCTGCCAACACTGGGGTCCCAGCTCCCGCTCCCAGCAGGAATGCAGACGTGCAGAGCCAGTGTCTCAAGTCTGGTGGCCCCTTCCCTGATCCCCCAAGCCTTTTAGGATGACACCCATATCTGCGTGGCAGCAGCCAGCTAGCAAATATATTACATGGCTCCATGATGGGCTTGGCAGGACCGGGCTGTAGAGGTCAGGATGCACGGTGTGCCCCAGGGGGACATCAGCGCAGGGAAGAGCCCGGGGTCAGCATTTGCTCCCTGCTCCCTGGGCAGCGTGCCGGAGAGAGCAGCTCCCCGCATTATTCAGGCTCCAGCTCAATCACCTTTCATGCATCCGCCGCCGCGAAGCGGCCGGCTTCGCTCTGCATTGAACTGTCACAGGGAATTACACAGCCCGGCTGGCTGAAGGCGCAGCCGAGGGGGTGAGAGCTACCTTCCCCCTCGCCTAGCCCGGCTGGGAGCCATCCTGCCGAGCACGGCACGGCTCAGCTCTGTTCCCACCCAGCTGCCTTCAAAGCGGGCAAGAGCTCAGCCAGGATGGGCTGGTTACAGATGGCAAGGCTGGGGCTGAGCTGAGTTGTGGGCGCTCCTGTTCGCACTTTCTGCAGCAGCTCAGATGGGGCAGCACCTCTGATGCCTGCACTATTCAAAGCATCCCCCTGATTTCAGGTGCTCTGTAAACTTCTTCCATCCTTTGCTGCAGAGAATTTCCCTGTGCTCCTGCACCCACCTCACAGCCCAGTGCCTTCCAGCTCAGGTCCTGCGGACTCGGCTTCCGAGTGCCCAGGGCTGATAGCCCCAGCTGCCGTGCTCATCCCTGCCTCACCTCCAGGCATGGACACCCTCTGCTCCCCACGGCACAGGTACCTCGGAGCCCTGCCCATGTGTACATGGGGATGGGGGGGGGGTGGGGGTCCGAGGGGCAGCCCAGCTACAGCCCCAGGGACTCCTGGATCTGCTCCCAGGCTCTGCCCAGCACATCATGTCCCCTAGGCAAAGGTCTGCAAGGATCCTCAGCCACGGCTCATCCTAAAGCATTCATAAGGGAAAAGGACTGCAGTTTTCCAGCTGGTTTTCCAAACAGCCTGATCCCTTCTTTGCTGGTCAAACAAGAGCCGTTCCCAGTCGGGCTGCCAGTGCCTTTAGGCATGTTTGCACAGCCCAGCTCCTCCCGCATCCCTGCAGGGCCCTGGCTCCTCTCCTGCTCAGATCCCGGCTGGCTCTCAAAGCGCGTTGGTCTCTCCCAGGAACGGGCTGTACAGGCAGAGCAGCCTAGAGCCTGACCACACCGTGGCAGTCCTGGTTTCCCCTTCTCCCCCCCCCCCAGCTGGTTTTGAATAACCTAGGATCAGCTCCATAAACTAAAATTGCCTGGTGATGCTGAAGCAGAGCCCAAATCCCCACCACTGCAATGGGAGAGCCTGGACTCCTCTCTGGACACCGCTCAGGGCCAGGCAATGCCACCGGCAAGTGCTTCTCCGGGCCACGGCATCCTCGCCAGCTCCTGTCCCCTCACTGCTGCCCCGATGGGCTGTCAGCCCCCTCGCAGCCCCTATTCCAGCAGCGGGACCTCTCGGCTCAGCAAAAGTTGCAGTTGGCTCTGGCAGAGGTGGGCGCAGGACTGGTGCTCTCCCTCCCGTGGGCTGAGCTGCTCCCCAGGCGCTGGGCAGGGACCCCATGGCTTGGGGTACCCAGCACCCCTCCAGCAGGAATTTCCCTGCTGCCAGGAGAGGGGAGACTGAGCTTTTCCATGTTGAGCCAAGGCGTTAGCGGGATCAGGAGGCTCTGCTGGAGGTACTGGAGGGGAGCAGAGCCGCGGGGGCTGTGGGGCTTTCCAGGAGACAGCCTCACCTTGCCCCTCGCAGCGAGGAGATGGTGCTACGGGG